AATTGTGATGTTGTTATGTATGTTTACTTACTGAGTATGGTATGGACTATGTTCATGGACGCCTTGTGTGATTAAGTCACGTTGACTTGACAGTGACGTCACTTAGTCATACGGCGGTTGAATTGTACGCGCGGTTAGATGCGGTCTGGGACGTGACAATCATAATCACTTAAATCACATTTATATATTTCACAAATATTTGGAAATATTTTTAGGAAAACACTCTTCTAAAAATGTAAATTTTAATTATTAATGCTAATTTAAATATTATAATTAAAAGAGATAATTACCCTAACTATGACTAAAACTCCACCATTTTCCCAATCTATGACTTAATGAGTTATTTCCCTAAAATAATACCAAAATTAGTAATATTTAATTAATATATTAAAGAATAATTAATTAAATTTTTTATATGGACTAATATGCCCTTGTATTATCATTATAAAACCCTAACACTCTCCAACCCTAGTTGTAGCCCACTTGCCGTCCAGTCTCCCTTGCCCCGCCGTCCAGCCGTCTACCATCGCTGCCCAGTCGCCTACCATCTCCGCCCAACCGTGGTCTGCCTCTTTCATCCAGCCTCTTTATCATCTTCATCCTAATCAACAAGATTAGGACGAGTAGGTTTTGATTCCGGTGGTTCTGGCAGATTTGGGGATCGATTTCTCATGGCCACGATCTCCTTGATTCTGTCCCATTATCCAGCCGTTCAGCCACTTTGACATCCGCAATAAATAAATCGATTTCAAATTCGAACAGGAAAAAGAAGTGTGAGGTTAGAAGTGGAGAGATCCGTTGATAGCGTTCGAGAGTGAGCACTCGCCGCTCTGTTTGTGATAAGCAATAAGAGATACGGAGGATTAGATCTAAGGCTAAGGTTGTCGCTCAAATTTAGGGTGTGTTTGCAAACTCTTTTCAAAAGTGCTTTTAGCTTTTTTTTAAGAAAATAGCCAAAAAATGGTGTTTGCATACCCAACTTTCAACTTAAATTTAAGCACTTAGAAGCCAAAAGTTAGAAGTAGGGTTGGGGGTGCTTTTAATTGCTTCCAGGTTATTTTGTAAATAACATCAACTTTAAGGACAGTCTTCACCCCAATTATTTTGCCTTATTCCAGCCCTACCCTCGATCTTACGTATTATCTGTCCCAGAGTTCAACTTTGCCTCCCCTCCCTTCATTTGCTTGCGTGTGAGAGCTAAGCTATCTTCACCATCGCCGGCTTTCTCCTCCGTTCCATCCATACGGCGTTGCTGCCGAAACTTCCAGGTAAGGTCTCCACCATTCTTCATACCTCCTATTTGCTTTTTCTGTTAATTTTATTTTATTTAATTTCATCTTCTTCCCATAATAGTAACAGTCCTTGCAATTTGTAACAGGGATAAACCTGTTGCTTCTATTCTGCCTTTCTTTATTCTTTTTTTACCTTTTGTTTTGTAGTTCAGGAAAAGTTTTGCTTTTTATATGTTGATTGTGTGTGCAATAAAGTAAAGATAAAGGGGGTTAAAAAATACTCCGTATGTTTTTAGATCTCAGTTTGAAGCCCGGTTAGAACTCAATCATTCTTTCCAATCATTCTCAGTGATTGAACTCATTTAAGACATCATTTTCTAAAAGTTGGTTTAGATGTCATTGCTATTCTTCACATAAAAGTAAGACTGAGGATAGGTTTGGATGTAGTCTCTGTAATAGGAGCAATTTTATTGTTCTTATACACAACATAGATATTGATTGTGTGGTTTATAAGCTAAACTTTCCAGAAAAAAAAGATCAGATCTTGAAGTTCCAAGCTAAATTATCAAAAATACTGATTTAGAAACTAAACTTTTCAGAATAACCCAAGTAACTTTTTAGTAGGCAAACTGCACTTCTATTTAGCTTATCCGTTAACAAATATAAGCATCTATTGTGAAATATAATGAAAATGATTACTCCTAACAACTGATGAATTAACAAGAGAAACCTATTCTCCTAGAATGAGATTGAACTCATTTAAGACATCCTGCATTTCAAAATATATATCTTGTTGCCATAGACAAGCTTTTATCTTATAAACTTAACCTCAATGTGAATGCTTCATTCTGCAATCTCAACTTACCAAAATGAGATACTACTACACTTTCCTTTTCCTTGGATCTGGTGTCATTTATTAGTTGGTCATGTAGTTTTCTGGAAAAAAAAATCAGAATAAACTGCCTTTAATTTTTGGGAATAACCCATGTTTCAACCTGCTTTACCCATCAATGTATTTTTTTTTTGAATTGTGTTTCTTGTTTCATGTATCATGAAATATATATTATATGATTTATTGTAGTCATGGGTTCAACAATGCCTTGGGAGGCATACTCCGAGCCTAACCTTTCATCTCAACTACAATTACAATCACAACCAACATCATTGTCTCAATCACTAGCTTCTCAAAGCACAAGTATTGTCGTTAGGAGACAACCACCTGTTAAGACAACAATAAATATGGAGAAGGCAAATTGGGATCCAATTGCAACTGAAGCTTTTATTAGGATATGTGTTGAAGAGGTAGAAGCTGGGAATAGGCCATGTACGCATTTTAATAAAACTGGATGGGATAATATAGCCAAAAAGTTTTATGAAACCACCAAGAGAAGATATAAAAGGGTGCAGTTTAAAAATCGTTGGGATGCTCTAAAAAAAGAATGGGGTCAATGGATGACACTCATAAGAAGTGAGACAGGATTAGGTTGGGATCATGCTAAACAAACTATTCATGCTGATGAAGAATGGTGGGCTCGAAAAATTCAAGTAAGTGATCTATTTATGAAGTTAATATATTTCTATGTTTTTATATCATTTCAGATTTATAAATGAACGGTTATAAACTACAAGTAATAAACTTCAGTTATTACTAAATAACTGCAGTACGCCTTCAACTGTGGGTAAACTAAATAAGTAAATATGATGGTTATTGCTAAGTTATTTACTAATACATTTCAGTTTGTCTTCTCAAAATGGATGCTTTTGCCTTCAACTTCTGAAGTATTTTTTAATGTATTTGTGGTTAAACTAATACAAAAAAGACACTTCTGGCCAGTAAGTATGTGGCCAATATGTGGGTGAACTTAGTAACATATTATGAAAATACAAAACTAGAAATGAAGTTGAGTTAAATTAATGACAATGACACTTGTATTTGTTATTTATATTGTTGATTACCTTACCCAAATTTGTATATTGCAGAGTAATCCTGAGTTAGCAAAATTCAGATTTCGTGGACCTCTCTTGGTACAAGAACAACAAGTTTTATTTGATGATGTTGTGGCAACGGGAGCAGATGCATGGACTCCTAGTTCTGGTATTTTACCACAACACTTGTATGATGACCAAGAAGACAATTTAGAGGGGAATCAAGAGACAACCCAAGAGTTCCAGGATGATGTTACAATTGACGGTGCTGACACTGAGCAATCTGCTTCTCAAAAGCGTACAAGTACGAGAAATGGCAAACAAACTGTATTCCGCGGTAGGTTGCCTCCACTGATCACTGGTAAAAAGCAAAAAAAATTCACCTCAGCAGAGAAGATTGCTAGATGCCTTGAGGACATGGTTGGTACCATGAAAACCGAAAGCTCCTCTTCCCAACCTCGCCGGTTTAGCATAGAGGAATGCATGAATGTATTGGACCGTATGGACGGAATTGAAGCTGGAGGGAAATTATGGATGCATGCAACCTCACTCTTTTTAAAGTCAAATGTTAGAGAACTATTCTTGGCTATTAAGAATGACAACATTCGAAGAAAATGGCTGCAAGAACAATTGGACAGTTCTCTTCAAAAAAGAAGCTCCTCCACAACGTCTGCTCATCATGCAATGACCGATTCTGTTCAAGCCGATAACACATCTTGTGGATGAAGCTCCTCCACAACAGACCATGGTGGAAGAGTTTTATTTTACAGCTGGATTGTTTTGTTGTTGTTTGGTCATGTTTCAAGTTTGCATTTAAGTTTTACTTAATGACTTACCTTGCATTTTAGTTGTCTGCCAGACTATGCATTTCAGTTTTTCCTGCACTTGTTGTTTGATTGGATGAATTCCAGACCTTCTTGTTTCATTAATGAATTCCAGACCTTCCTGGTTGAAGCATATTATATTCAAGTAATGAACTTTATTAGCTATCTTGTAATATTAAAATATTCTGAAAGGTTATGTCTTCATGTATACAGAATGTCAGAAAAATCTTCCTCTATCAATCTGGATTCTGTTTCCAAATCTTCAAGCGAAGAAGATATAGATTATGCCATTGATGGTTCTGAAAGTGAAAATGAAGGTAATAGCTCAATATCAATTTCAGTGAGGAAAAAAAAATATGTAGGTGCAATTGCTATAGGAGCTGCTGTTTATTACAACACATATCTACAAAAAAAACCTTGCTATGATAGAGATTATAGCGGGTGGGCGGCATTGATGTCCATTCTAAATGGGCACGAAAAGCGGTGTCATAATCATTTTCGAATGCATAAGGAAGTCTTCTTTGAATTGTGTGCACTATTAGTGAATAATTATGGACTTAAGGCTACACAAGGTGTCAATGTTGAGGAACAACTAGCAACATTTATGATGGTTGTTGGAGTTTGTCACGGAAACAGACAACTTCAAGAGCAATTCCAACGGTCTGGTTTCACTATTAGTAGATCATTTCACAGTGTACTTAAAGCATGCACAAAGATGTCAATTGACTGGGTGAGACCATTTTCTGATAACACAAGTACACCTCCCTATATTCAAGGGCATCCAAAATATTGGCCTCACTTCAAGGTAAGAACTTTTGTTGAAAATTTAATAGAGAGTATATACATATTTTATGTACAAACAAAATTGGTGTATTATTTATTGTCAGGATTGCATCGGTGCCATAGATGGTACTCACGTAGAAGCAAAAATTGCAGCCGATAAGCAAATTCCATTTATTGGTAGGCAGGGCTTTACAACGCAAAATGTTATGGTTGCATGTGACTTTGATATGTGTTTCACTTTTGTGTTGCCTGGATGGGAGGGAAGCGCCCATGACACTAGAATCTTCTACTCTGCACTACGTGACCCATTAAAAAATTTCCCCCACCCTTCTAGGGGTAAGTATTAATTTATTAGGATTTAAGTGTTATTTGAATATTCTAATTATCACATATGCCATTGATATTTGAGTAATATATATGTTTTTAATATATTTGCAGGGAAATATTACCTAGTTGATGCAGGATATCCGAATATCAAGGGGTTCTTATCTCCCTATAAAAGACAGAAGTACCACATCCCGGATTTTAAAAGGGCCTCATCATATAACAACCACTATGAACTGTTTAATCATGTGCATTCATCACTACGGGGTGTCATTGAAAGATCTTTTGGAGTGTGGAAAAAGAAATTTACTATAATGGATAAAATGCCGGTAAATATTAGTTGGAATGATCAAATATCTCTTGTGCCGGCAACCATGGCTATTCACAATTTCATTCGCAAGAGTGACCGTATGGATGATGATTTTCTAGAAGCAGAGTCCAATGAAAGTGAAGCAACTAACGATGCAGGAGGGGAAGACACTGAGGAGGTGCAATCACATCAGGGCGATGATGCGATGAACAAATTGAGAGATGACATTTGTGCATCAATAACTTTTGGTAGAATTGGTGTTCCAATGTACTAGTTTCATTCATGGTTTGTTTGTAACCAATCAGATGTAATGATACATATATGTATTTCATTCCTTGAACTTCCTTATTTCACTGCTAAAAGGATTCAAGGTTTGTTTTGTCAACTTTAAGGATATACTAGCTTAAAAGATTCAAGGTTTATGCTTTTGTTATTTAATGTTTGGGATTCTGAAACAAATGATAATAATGTTGTGTTACAATTTAGTATTTCTTTGACTAGCAGTTTATTATACTTGGTATTTCATTCAAGGATGTTTGACCCAAATAAATCTTATTGAGAATATGTAATTAGCACACCATATATAGTGCACTGCTGATTCAACAAATTCACACCTGGAGGAATTTAATATACATGTTAAGGGTAACAAGTAACAAGAATAGTATGAACAATTAATTGACTACTAGGTTAATAAATAAAACAATGCATCACAAAGACTTTAGATACCCAAAATAAACATGTTCACAGTAGTTTCAAAATACATAATACAACAACAATTACTAAGCCTATTCAAGGCCAATTTGAACAATCTTGTACCCAAAAAAACATGTCCACAGTAGTTTCAAAATACAACAACAATTACTAAGCCTATTCAAGGCCAAATGGGTAGGATGAAGCAACAGAAGAAACTCTAGAACAACTACTGTCGCGGTCATCATCAAACCGTGCTCTCGATGTCCCAATATGGCTCTTCTCAGCATAAGCAGACCGGCTGGATAGTGGTAGTTGGTACTTGGTTTTTGCAACACATGATTGTTCATCTTTCACACTATATTCATCATCATCGTCATCAATGCAAATGACTTCAGGTGCTGCAATCAGGAGAGGAGACGTAGTCGGTTGACCAATATGATCAAATATCAATTGTAGCTCTAACCACATCATTTCAGGTGCACTCCTGAACCTTTGAGCAGATGGATTCTCCTACAATAAAAATTAACATACAAATAAAAAAATCAAACATTCTAGTTACATTCATAAGCATCTGAAATAAATTTGAGCGAACTGTATTGTTTTTATGCTTCGTAATGGTAGTTGTATTTTTCTAATATTGGCTTGTTACTAAAGTTCATAACTGAGGTACCCTTCTGTTGGAAAGTAGAGCTTCAGTTTGTTTTTCTAATATTGGCTTGTTACTAAAGTTCATAACTGAGGTACCCTTCTGTAGTAATAGCAGACACTGGAATATAAGACAGTGGAATATAATCAACAAAACAATCCCCATACCAGATAATACAAGACAGTCAAACACTAGAATATAAACTAGTATCTCAGTGAAATTAACCAAATCCTTATCCAGAGAAGCACCATTAACCATTACAATGAACCAGCGATTTCGGATTTGAAATAGAAGACTCAAATCCTTATATAGTTTAAAGAAGCAAGGTGAGCTTCTTTAAAATATAGTTTAAATGACTGCTTGATCATTTGAACTTCTCTTTCAGTGTGATTTAAGTTAAAATAAAGTTTATTTCAATTTACTATTAGATACGTTTTAACTAATATACTTTAAAATTAATATAAAATTCATACTTAGTTTAATAGTTGGTTAACGTACCCTTATGAGAAGTTCCCAAGTGCCATCATCAGCTTCAAGTTCGTTGGTTGTATAATTCAGTTTTACACCACACGAACGCCAGACTGAGTCCCACAATTCGTATCGACATCTTAGGCTTTTGCACTTCCTCGATACCTTCTCATATGAAAATGGTTTCCCAAATGTGTGAGTGAGGCTTTCAGCGATGTCACTTACCGCATGACAGTTGAAGGCATTACCAGCAACAAACAGGTTGTCAGTAGTCTGACACTCAATTAGCTTGTCTAGAAGAAACTTCTCTTCCGTGGACGTCCAAGAATACATCGCAAACATATCATCCACTTTGTGATGAGACTTCTTGGCCATGGTTATACCTACGCAAAAAAAAGCACAAAATAGCTTTCAAAAATAGACACAAACTAGCACAAATTATGTCCTCTTTATTTCTATGTATGTTACTTGTGCTAAAAGGAATAAAAGTAAAGAATGTAATTCACTAATCCAGTCCATTTTTCAACTTCAGACCAATTTTTCTTTTTGCACTTTAGTTGTTTACACTGGCGGAGGCAGGGGAGGGCCTAGCTGGACCCTGGTCCGTGTGGTTCAAACTTACCTCTTTAGCAAATCTATAAAAAAATGTGTGTTGATCCAGCAACTACAATTTTGGCTCAGCCCTATCTAATTGTTGCCCAGTCTACAATGCATCCATCTGTCCTAAGCTGCCAAGTGCCAACCAACCAAAGGAAATACAACAGCTTTACGTCTAATATCAAAGTTTGAAACTTTGAATTATGAATACTGCCGAGTATAATTTTTATTATTACCAGGGAGTATTATTGTTACTATCATACTTAGTATCATATAAGAAGTCTTTTTAGCATAATTGACTATGCAAATTAGTGAGAATGTAAAATTTTAGCATACAATTTTAGTTCAAATCAGGCCCAACCCTAATTTTTGCCAGCTAGTTTTGCCCTTGGTTGTTTATGCCCATTGTTCCTTCGAACATCGTTTAAATCAACGGAGAATGAAAAGAAACCCTTGAGTAGAGGCGGAAGCTCCAATATATATATACAAACGAAATCAGAGTTGTAGAAGAATACATTCTTACCTGATTTGAGAAGGAAGCTCCAAAATCTGGGAAACAAAAGCCTTTGCTGCGGATTTCGGGACCTGGGGCTGGAGTAGCGGCGTATTTCATTCAACAACGATGAATTCTGATTTGGGGATCGGGCAGAACAAATTTATCGCTAACCTAGGGAAATGTTAAAAAAGGGTATTTTTGTACTTTTCATTAAAATATACCATCACAATCACTTTTTTATCAAACACTCCAACTTTTACATTTTAATTAGAATCACTTCTATTCCCAAACACTACCAACTTTTACTACAAATCACTTTTCCAATAATCTCTTAAAAAAATCACTTTTAAAAAGCACAAGCAATCGCAAACACTCCCTTAGTACGAAGTACTTTTATCTATTTTGAGGTTTCTCTTCTTCACTTTTGTGAGTGGCCAAATTACAATTACATAGGAGTATTAGTTATAATGAATGACTTCGTATCTATTTTAGCCATTTTGGAATGAATTTACCACTCATTTACTGATTTACATGCTACACTACAATCTCATTTTTCATGGGCAGTGAATATGTGCTCTAAACATAGGCAGTAAAAATAATAATAAATATTATTGAGTATGGTGAGTAAATTTATGATTTTAGGCATGAAACATAGGCATTGAACATTGGCATTGAACTGGCAATAAGTGTTGAATATGGCATGGAATATGACAATATATATATTATGTTGTACATGGCAGTAAATGAATGCATTAAGAAAGTTTGGTGTGCAGTAACACAAAACACTAATATCATCATGAAATGCAATATACTTAATTTAACATAAAATAATAAAATTATTAAATCTAAAAAAACTAAAAACTAAAAGTAAATTCCTCAAATAAATGAGAAAAGAATTAATTTTTGTGGAAGTGCAGTGATTATTAACGGATGTGCAGTAAAGTCGTGCATTAATGTCGTGCATTAATGCCAATATAAAGTGCAGTAATTTTAATTGGACAAAATTAGTGCAAAATGCACATATTTTAAATAAGGGTATTTGGTCATTCAACCTTTAAATAGAAATGAGATTTCTCTTTTTCTTTGGATTTTTGGTCATAGATAAATCTAAAAACTAGTTAGGTCATAGATTGGGAAACTCGTTGAGTTTTAGTCATATTGTAGTAAATTTCCCGCTTCATCTTTCAAAATAGGACTAAAACTCAACCTTTTTCTCAAAAAAGGACCACATGCATGTTTTTCTCTAAATAGGACTAACCTTACCCTTTTTACCCCTAATTCTATTTAATTAATTAATTAATCTAAATAATTGCCCCCTAGTTTCCTTGCACAACCAAGGTAGTCCGTCGGTGGCGGGGCAGTCCGTGGTGGCGGCAGCACTCCGGCAGCGGCCGGCGGCGGATTCCGGCAGCGGCGGCAACTCCGGCAATTAATTAACCCAATTAATTGCCCCCCCTAGTTCTCTTGCACAACCAAGGCAGTCCGTTGGTAGCGGGGCAGTCCGGAGGTGACGGCAGGTTGGCGGCAGTGGAAGAGGCGGTTTCCGGCAGCGGCGGCGGCCGCCACTGGCTGCGGCTGGCGGCAGGTGGCGGCAGGTGGCGGCAGGTGGCGACAGGTGGCGGCAGAATGTTGGCAAACCTCCGGAAAAAAAATCTGGAATTTTTCCGGCGGCGGTCGCCGGAACTCCGGCGGCGGGCGGCATCGGGCGGCGTCGGGCGGCGTCGGGCGGCGGCGGCAGGCGGCAGACGGCGGTCCGGCAGTCCCTGGGCAGCAGTGGTAAAGGTTGTGAGTGGTATTTTGGTCCAATCACTAATAAAAAGTCCTCTTTAAAGATGTTTTAACTAGGTACTCCTATTTTGAGGGAAAAAAACCATGTTTTGATCCTATTAAGGTAAATCTCCCTTTATTTGGGCCTTATTTTAAATTTATTTTCATATATATAATACCATCTCTATTTATGTAGTATGCTTATTCTTCTCTATTCATCTACATCTCCCCATGGTCTACTTTAACACTAGATATTGAAAATAGTTATTAACAACTCTGTATTACATGAATTGTATCATCTTATATTAGGACTGATTGTAAATGTGTATGTATCGTACTTTTCATTTTATTAATTATAATTCAAAAATTTCTGCTCAAATGATTATTTTTCCTTCAAGCAAGATTCAATCATTTTTGTTCTTCAATTTTACTTCTTAAAATTTCTTATCAACAGACTGTATTTTTACTCTGGGTTAGTTGATAGTTGATTTTGATTGAGCATGATAATGGCAAGATGAGAAAAGATGTAGTACTTTGATTCTTTTTCTTCAATCCATTTTATCTATTCTTTACCTATATATGACCTCATAACATAGTAATGACATGAAATGAAAAACAGAGCCAAGAGTCAAGAATCTGTGTATACAGTTAGTCGATTGATTGTATATTAGCAGAATTACCTATGAACCTCTTGAACTCAATTCTTCCAAAAAATACTCTTTGAGTTTGAAGTGAAATCGTAAATTACGGAGCTTAGAAGTAGATCGAGTTGATACGGTATCACGTGAATTCTAAGGGATGTTATTTT